TAGCTGGAGAACTAGAAGGGAAAAGAAAATACTCTTTGAAGTTTGGGATAGATGGAACAGAGGTATTGAAAATAAACCTCCCTAGTTTGGTAATCTATTGTTTTATACTCATTTAAATAATCACCTATTAACTTACTAATACATTGCATGTCAATGGCATATTTTGTTTAAGTTATTGTTTTAAGATATCCATTAAGTCACCCATTTCACACTGAGCTATAACTTGCATAGTTCAGTATTTGGAACTAATCATGAAAACTAATTGAATTGATCCTCCAAAAATGTATAACAAATAAAAGGCATATTACAATTGATGTTCTATTTCATGAATGTCATATTTTTATGAACCATATAAAATTATAAATATGATTATAAGAATCATAAGTGACACCTTTTTTGCAATGACATCCTAATAATTACAATGAAACATGATTATTTGTTTACAGAGAGGAAGTTTAAAATGTGAATTTTTATTAATACTGATTTTTATTTTATTTGGATCTATATTCCATGCCTCTCTGGTCATCCAGTGTTGAATTATTTTTTCGATTCATATTTGTTGCCACTGAATTCATATTTCATGTTTTAAGATAGTATGACTTTTAAGACTTGATTTCACAAGAATACTGAAAAATACCAAGAACTCTGTACCAGAGACAAGTGTTCTAGTCCTTTTTGTTTGTTGTTTCTAATTAGATATGCAACTTTGTGTTAAGTCCCTTCTTTCTGTCCCTCAGTTTCCACATTTGAATTATAAGGGTCCATATATCGCTTCTCTGTTGAGTGTCTTTAATACAACATAATAAAGGATTGTTGTAATTACAGAAGATGTTTGTTATTCTTTGTTTCTTTTTTCTTTTTCCCCAATTCAAGACCAGCTCTATGTAGAGATACAAAGATCTAGATAATTGCATACTAACAGTTTCTAGGTGATACATACCTTTTCCTGGACTGATAGAAACTTGAAATCCATTTTTGGAGTCCAGAGTTATGTGCCTTTACCTTGAGGCTTTAAATCTGCTTACATGCACACAAAACTAAATCAGTCAATGACATGTAGGTAAAAATAAATTCCCAAATCAGCTTATGTTATAGAGAGGTGATAGAAAAAGGAAGGATGATTTATAGTAGGAAAAACCATGGGACATTTGTATAAGAAAAGAACCTTGCATTTGTTCTATGTATATGATTTATGTTGGTGTGTTATGTTAGTTATGATGTGGTAATCGTATCAACTAAACTCCACAAGATAATGGAAATTTGTGAAAGGATAGACATACCTAATTTCAATGCAGGGAGGAAAATCATGATAAAAACAGATAGAATAAGTAAGTATATAAAAGAGAAGCCTCTAGTCTTCCCTTTAGACTAAACTTGTTGTTTCCAAAGGAGAGTGTAAGATCACAATATAATGTCATCTATTTATATACATTTGATCTAATAATGTATAAAAGGCAGATTTATACTAAAGATGTCACTTCTCTTATATGGCAGATTCCCATATCATTTACATAACCAAAGTTTCTTCAAAGGAAGCTAGTCATTCTTCCCACAAATGTCATTTAAGAACCACTGTGTGCAGGCCTTATCCTAGTGGCTAAGGATGGCTGCGGTGAATGAACAGAGGAAACCCTTCCTCCCAGGGAACTAATATTCCAGGCCACCCTTGCCATCATATGTACAGATTGAAGTCAAATCTGGAAATATGCAACATGAAGCTCTGAGCAAAGGTTGGCCTGGTACAGCAGGGGTTTCAATATCATAAAGATGTTCACCATGGTAACATGTTTGGTGGCATCGAGAAAAACCACCAATGGAAGTTTCCCATTTTACTGTGGATGTGACCATGATGACATCTAATTAGTGCTGGCAATGCACCTGTGTTGATTGTCACTTTTCTCACACTGCTGGCAAGTTTATGAGCTGAGTAAGAAAACTAACCATCATTTTAGTAAAAATACAGGAAGATGGCCTCAAATTTCTGAAATCTAATGAAGCTCCATTTATATGGTTCTTATAAAGTTAGCAATGTTGTTCACATCTTCCTTCCTTGGATTATTTTGCTGTTTATAATACAAAACAGATTTTACTATGAGTAAAATTAAGACAGTGACAAAAGCGTTACTGAAGCTGTCAAGGTCACAGTATGTGTCCAGGAGGCTCAAAAAGCTATATTGATATTCTGTACTTCTTACAAGACCAGCTACCGGCATCTCAATCAGTGGCAGAATGATTCTAGAGTCGATGTTTCAACTGACCCACTCTAGCCTTCTTTTTGTCAACTGTGTTGGTTGCATCCACAAGTGTTTTGCTCATTACACCTATACGGGACTTGTATATTCAGATCGTCTCTGCCAGACATGGTTTCTTTTCCTCTCCTTCAACTGTTAGTAATCAATACCTTCCTATTTTGGCTCAGCTATTACTTTCCTTCTATTACCCTTTCTCTGTATCCTTAAAGAAATCAAATTTCCCTACTATACTATAGAGCTATGCATTTTACCTTTTACAAATACAGTTCTAATTTTACAATTCAAGTGTGGCTATTTCTTTAAAGTTTATGGGGCGCCTGGGTGGCTCAGTTGGTTAAGCGGCTGACTTCAGCTCAGGTCTTGATCTCTCAGCTTGACAGTGTCACGCTCTGTGCTGACAGCTCAGAGCCTGGAGCCTGCTTTGGATTCTTTGTCTCCTTCTCTCTCTGCCCCTCCCCTACTCCTGCTAGGTCTCTCTAAAATGAATAAGTATTAAAATTTTTTTTTAAAGTTTAGCTCTGTTCTTGGATTATAAAGTTCACACATATAGGAGAATATCTGTTCTTTCTACAGCGCTGCATGATTGAAATATAGCCACCCAAATGCTTTTTTTTTCTTTTTTTTTTAAATGTTTTTATTTATTTCTAGGAGAGAGAGAGAGCGTGAGCAGGGGAGGGTCAGAGAGAGAGGGAGTCACAGACTGAAACAGGCTCCAGGCTCCGAGCTGGCAGTCAGCACAGAGCCCGACGCGGGGCTCGAACCCACAAACCACGAGATCATGACCTAAGCGAAAGTCGGATGCTTAACCGACTAAGCCACCCAGGCGCCCCTTTTTTCTTTTTTAAATACATGAGTGAATCATCTGGAGAGGTTGCATACATAGTAGCAGATCTGTGTGTTCCAAACGTAGCAAATTTACAGAATGGTGAGGTAATCTCTGTTTTTATTCTCAGGATAAGACTTATTCCTATTTCTTTATGTATAGATTTTATCCCATATAGTTTTCATTGACTACTTATATATTTTTTTTTCAATAAAAATAAACAGTCTCTAAATAAACAGACAGAAGACCACCTGTATGTTCATTATGGTCCTTTCCCTTGTAGTGTTTGGATGTTATCTGCCTACAAGCTATTACAACCGCAAAATTTTGCAGAATGATGCTTATTAAAACTGGTCTAAACAGTTGTGTCTGTGTAGACCCAAAGGACACTTTATATTTTCCTTTTATTGCAAAGCCCAAGTTATTTAAAAAAAATAACTCAAACCTACCAAGCAATAAAATTTACTTATCTGTTTTTCAATAATCTCTCTAAATGTCATTTTCCCGAACGAATATTTTTGCTCAAAGTAAAGGTGCAAAAGATATGAGCAGGAATTGAATACTGTGTGATAGATGAGCTAGAACCTAGGGAGTAACTAGTCTACAGGGAAAGCAGGAGCATGTGGGTAATGTATGTGTTCATGATCTGCATCTCCAGCCTATTGTCAGGATAAGGCACATTAGCATTTGGCTCACAGCCACTCAAACTGGACTTCAGCCTTCCCACTCTACCCAAATCCTTGGTCTTTTTTTGGTTATGCTAGGGAGATCTATGAAGTCAGAATCAAACAGGCCAAGAAAAACATCAGTTCACATTTCCCCACTTTTGTCCACTCATCAGCCATGCCAAAGACTGTTGTCTTTGCTGTAAGTGTCATGTAGAAATGTAACTGTAGGGTAAAGCCATTTGGAATTGGTAGCATAACTTGTAGTGAGTCTCAAAATCCTATTCATTAGTTCAAGTTAGTTAGCCTTCAGTCATGACCTTCCTTTTCAATGTGTCTGGAAATCAGTCCCTTAGGCTAAGTCTGGGAATGTGTAAACTCACATTTGCCTTCTTCATTCTTTCTTCTTATGTTAATGGAAAAGTTACCAACTTCTCCCTTCATCCTCCAAATCCCAAATCTATCATGGTATCAGTTTTTCAAGTGGAATTATAATAGGTACAACCATGCAAACAGAATTTGATTAGTTTTGGATACCGAGAAAGTCTTACGAGTTCAGTTTCTGGGCATCAAATAATTACCTAATTTTAGAGACTAGGAAACAGAGGAGTAGAAGCCTCATTAAAGGTGTGACTAATTACTGCCAGTAATTTTGAGTAGGAGAGAGTTAACCAGCATAGGCATCATCAGTATCATTGTCTGATTTTCTGAGATTTGGTGGCTAAACTTGCTAATTTGGAACTTCGCATTTGTGCTTTAAATATATTTTTGAATCTCTATATTTTGAGATACTGGAGGCCAGTAGCCACAATGTACACATTTAACTCAAATAAATTTTGTTGAATTTAATTTCGTGTAACAGCAGCAACAACAACAACAACAACAAAACTATTGTACCAGATACTAAATGTCAGGCCCTAAGTTTAGATATCAAAGACAAAAGTAAAAGGCAGGTTATTTTTGGATTTGGACATGAACCATAGGTAAACTCTATAACCAGCAAAGTGTATTACATCTAATTGGTAAACAGTGAGAAATGAATACTTGAATTTGTGAATAGTATCAGCCCATTTGTTTACCTTCACGGATTTATATCAAAGCTATCTCTTATTTAAAAGAATATAATTTTATTTGTTTTTTGAGAGAGAAAGAGACATAGCATGAGCAGGGGACGGGTAGAGAGGGAGGGAGACACAGAATCAGAACTAGAGTCCAGGCTCTAAGCTGTTAGCACAGAGCCTGATGAGGGGCTCGAGCTCAATCATGACCTGGGGCGAAGTCAGTCGCTTAGCTGACTGAGCCACCCAGGTGCCCCTATATCAAAACTATCTTAATATTAAGCTGGTATGATACCTCCATCCTACTTTATATTACGTTTGCTAGGAGATCATTAATACCTGATTTGAATGGGTATGTAAGTTCATAAGTAAATTAAGAGTTATTTCAAGGAAAAAATTAGCATTCTGTCTGTGACATACATAAAATATCATGATTTTGTAAGTATAAAATGACTGTACTCAAACACTTTGTTAAGTTGTTCTACTATATTCTGTGACCTAAACCTCCAGAGATAAAGGGGATTTTTTTTTGTCAAATCCCATATTTCTTACCTGAGTTCTAATAAGCTGATAATTATAAAGTGAAATTATCATTTAAAACACAGTTTAAAAAAATATTCCTACCCTTACTTAAAAATATTCTATTAATTCACTTCATTCTTGAGGATACTATTCTCCCCATGAGCAAAGAGATAATGATTGATCTCAAGAGTTGTTGTCTTCAGTGAACATCTCATCTTTGTTGTCAAAGTGAGCTGAACCTAGATTTTGAACACTACCATTCAAAAATAGCAGGATATTTTGGCTGATGAAAAATATGCCTGGGATTTACATAACATTTCCCACTTAGACCTCAAGAACTTGCCACTGGGTTATTTGAATTTGACTTATATTGAACAAGAGTACAGGTAAATCTGTATTTTTAAGTCATCACTGTGAAAGCACAGGAGCACTGTTTTCTTTTAAAACTATGTATTTATTATAAAATAATACATTTCCACTGTAAACAGTTGAAACAATGCAAAAATGAGCCATTGAAATTCTGTAGCTTACTTCCCTGAGGTAACAACTGTTAACATTGTAATTGATGCTCTATCAGACATTTTTCTAGACACACTCACATGTACACATACACCATTCCATTTGCGATTTTTATTTTTTAAAAGCTCATATTATACATATTACTCTGTGAAATGCATTTTGACTTGATAGTGCTGGAGACAAATTTCCATGTTAGAATATGTAAATTCATTGTATTTATTTTAATTGGAGCTAGATTATTTCAGAAATCCATCTATGTTTTTCCTTTCTATGACTTACTGGGCCAGAGGAAGATGTAAGAGGGCAAGATTTGGGATCCATACCACTACTTTAACTAGGAAAGCCCTGCTTAAAGCTGTTTTATATACCGGAGACTCTCATAGAGTTTTATTTAAGTAGAGCCTTATTTCTAAAAACCGATGTAAATCTAGGATTTTTTTACTTTCAGAATAATGATATGTGGAGAAATACAGTGACTTAAGATTTCATGGTATGTATGTTTGAATTAAAGCCTCCCCATAATTTTTATGAGTTTTTTCAAGTCTTGAAATTCACTTCATGGCAAGTGGGAGGAAATGTTCTCTGGAGATCCAATTCAGTTATTTTCCTTTGTGAAGAGTCTGATGCTAAAATTAATCCTCTGCCGTGAATTTGATATTGCTGTTTTCTGAGAATGAGGCATGAAAATGCACACACATATGTGATTTTTTATAAAGCTGAGCTTTCTTTATTTTATTTCCTTAAAAATATTTTTTGAAAAATAATTTTCATTTAATTTTTATTTTAATATAAAGTCATTTTCTGTGTTTTAGCATAATGAATTTAATTAGTATAGTGTGGTTAGCTGGATCCTTTGGGTATTGTGGAGAAATTTATCATGGATACTCTGTTGGAACTTCTGGGATCTTTCTTTCTATTTTTCCTCTTTCTTTCTTTCTTTCTTTCTTTCTTTCTTTCTTTCTTTCTTTCTTTCTTACTTACTTCCTTCCTTCCTTCCTTCCTTCCTTCCTTCCTTCCTTCCTTCCTTCCTTACCTCCCTCCCTCCCTCCCTCCCTCCCTCCTTCCTTCCTTCCTTCCTTCCTTCCTTCCTTCCTTCATTCCTTCCTTCCGGCAAAGTTTGGATTATGAAAGCTTTGCCCAGATTTCTACAGTGAGTCTTCTCTTTTTTAAAATGTTTTTTTAATGTTTATTTATTTGAGAGAGAGAGAGAGAATGTGAGTAGAGAGAGAGAGAGAGCAGAGACAGAGAGAGACACAGAATCTGCAGCAGGCTTCAGTCTCCAGCTGTCAGCACAGAGCCCAACGCAGGGCTCCAACTCACAAACCTTGAGATCATGACCTGAGTCGAAGTCGGATGCTTAGCTGACTGATCCACGCAGGTGCCCCAGTGCCTCTTCTCTTAGGAACATTCTAATCCTTATTTTCCTCAGGTGTCATCATACTCAAATTTCTTTAGTGATAATTGTTAGAATTTTTTAAGTTTCCACTCAGCATGGTTTCTGAGAAGGCAACTCACCATCATGGACAGTAAACAGGCCATTTGCATGTGAAATCCAGCTCCATTACTTACTCTCTCATTCCGGCTGCTCCAACTGTCCTGTACCTTCTATCTGTCTCTGGCAAAGTAGAAAAGACAGTAGCAATTACTACAGAGGCATTGTATAGATTAAATGATTGAATAAACATAAAGGACTAAGAATGATACCTGAGATCTAGAAAACACTCAAATACTAGATAGAATTATTGCTCTGAGATTTCACACTTTCCCCACCATGTTTATTAACCCCTTCCCTGCCATTGTGACTGTTGTTTCTAATCATCATCATCAGTTGTCATCCCTAACATTTATCCAGTATCTGGCATGTCACAAACATTCTGCTAACTGCTGTAAGTGTATTAATTTATTGAATCTGCACAGCTATATTTGCAATCTATGTTATTAATATGCTGATTTTACAGTATAATACATGAGATTTTGAGATTTGAGAGGTTAAACAATGTAAAATGGATGATTCCACTTTGGAAAAATAAGAATTTGAATCCAGATCTTTTAACCAGTTACAGGGCTTCCTACTATGAGATCTATATTCCCTCGCGCTATAATCTATAGTGTTATATTTATGAAGTTGTTATGTCTGTTAATTGTTGAAGCTGAGCATGGACCACTTTGTTGATTGTCTGGTGCTTTGGTCAGCTCTCAATCTCTGGAGAGGTTCTTATCCCCACTTCTTTGCAGATATAGGTTCTTACCTCACTTCTTTGCAGATATATTTCCTATTTCTGCTGCTGTTTTCCACCCTTAACCACCCTCACTGACGTTTCTCCCATGGTCCTCAAATGTTTACAAGTCAATTGGCCACTTTGACATAGTCATTGGTAAATTATTTCCATGATCTGAATATTGACTAGGCTCCTTTTGTATTCAATTCCACTGAGACAATTTTACAAACATTCCCAGGGGCCAGAATGAGGGGATTTATGTGTGATGGAACACTTATTCACCTATAGGGAATGTTCCTCCTGACCATGGACTTTCCAATCTATGCCTTACACACAGGCATCTGTTTGGCTTCCTCATTTGTCTGGATAGGTTATTAGCTTTCTGTGTCTATGCCACTCCATCTCCCTCATCCGGCTGTAATCTCAGGATAGCATTTGTCTGCCATCTTTGCTCAGGAAAGGTCAACCCCAGGGCTTCAGTTACCCCAACCCTCAGCCCCTATATCATCATCACTACTTCACCAGATGGTTTAGGAAGCAGTGTAGTAAGTGGAAAGAATAAGAATTGGGGCTGCAGTCCAATCTGTATATTTTTTATATACAAAAAGCATGTAAAAACTTTCACTCAATAAGAGTGCTACTTTATGTGTATGTGTGTGTGACATATGTGTGATATAAATGTATATGATAAATATGAACCCATAATCTGTTATTTATTTATTTGTTTATTTACTTATTTATTTTTATTTATATTTTTGAGAGAGAGATAGAGTGCATGAGTACATACCAGCAGAGGAGGGATGGAGAGAGAGAGAGAGAGAGAGAGAATCCCAAATAGGTTCTACCCTCAGTGCAGAGCTCAACATGGGGTTCAATCTCAGGAACTGTGAGAGCATTACAGCTGAAATCCAGAATTGGTGACTTGACTGACTGAGCCACCTAAGTGTCCCTGTGTCTATAATTTATTTTTTAGAATGAGACAGAACTGGATCCATTTATATATATCCTACAGAGAGATCATGGAATAAGAGCTTTTTCCTCAGTTGATGTGTGGACAATACACATCCTAAAAATAGCATACAAATTAGTAACATTGGAAACACATGGTTTATAGATGAAGTACAAGCCTATTGGCACAGATTGTAAGGCCACTCATATCCTTGTCTCATAACTTGACTAGTTTGCCTGTCTTGCCGTCTATACTCCTTCTTTATTATTCTCATCCTATGTATGTGTATGTGCTTTATACACAGTATCATAATACATTGCATTTGGACTATATTTCTCTCAACTGCTAGAAGAGACTATGATTTATTTAATGGCCAGGACTTTATCTTATTCATCTTTGTTCTCTCAAGGTCTAGCAAATAGTAAGAGCTCAGTAACATTTTTAAATATGAGCATCCTAGTGTGATTTACTCAGTGCCCCTTAAAATCTATCTTGTAATAATACATTATTTGGAGATACACCCTATGATATGTATCCCTTAAATTTGGCACCTCCTTTTCTAATAATTTTTAATAATATTGTAACAAGCTTAGAAAGAAGTAAGATAAATGCTGAAATAGGGTCATACTAACTCATGTTTAAAATGCCTAAATTGTAATGCTCTATAAATTGCTGAGGATAAGCTTTACTTTGAGTCTTATTTAGACTGGGAATACAGATTTAATGTTGATTGAATACATACACAGAAAATAAGAAAGTATATACAGCATCGTGTTCACTATCATGCTTTTCAAGGTGATTATGCTTAAAGACCATAATCAATTCCTCAAAAAGAACTTGCCTGCAGTGCCATGAGCAAAAGCTGCACACAGTCATAACACATTCTATCATTTTATTTCCCCTTACAGAGGGGTATTATAATTTTATATCATTGTCATTGCCTGGGAAATATTTCAGCCAGGAGTATTGTCTTAGGTTTTTATTGCTTCCGTAACAAATTACCACAAACTTAGTGGCTTAAAATAACTCATATTTATTATCTTACAGGTATGTATATCAGAAGTCTGGCATGGTTCCCACTGGATAAAATCCATACACCAGCAGGGCTGAGTTCCTTTTTTGTATGCTCAAAGAAGCATTTACCTGCTTCTACCTTTTTCTAAAAGATGCCCACATTCCATGGCTAGTCACCTTCTGCCTTCATCTAAAAGCTGCACTATTACATCTGTCTTCCCAGGACCAAGTGAGGTTTATCTCAGGAAAATAAGGATGTTTGATATCCAAAAATCAATTAATATAATATACAATAGCCATAGAATAAGGGAGAGAGATCACATGACATTTTCAATCAACACAGGGGGAAAATATCTTAATATTTTCAAGAGAGATTTTAAGCAACCCTCTCAAATATGATATGCTCTAGTCTAGAAATTTTTATTGTGTATTGAAGTGGCTTTCACTTTTTAAGTAAGCCCAAAGTATCAAGATGAGACATGTTTATCAAAAGAAAAACTGTGGGGGGGGGGGAGCAAATCATTAACCCTCACAATAGTTATCCCAAGAAAATGATGTTTCTAAATCTCAAAACACACTGTAGTTTAGAATCACATTACTATTTTTGATAGGCAATTAGTATATATATATATATATATAAGCATAATGCATCAGACAGTAAAAGGTATTCAAAAACTCATAAGAACAAATATAAAAGTTATTGGGTCAGCCCAGCTTAAGATATGATACAATTAGTATTTGATAGCTTTTAGAATTTCAACCTCTAAACTTCTAAAATTAAACAAAATTGAAAGAAAACTTTCAACTAGAGACAAATTGTTATACTGTATGTTTCAGAGGTTAGGTAAACAACATAGTGCCTCCTCTCTCATAGAATAGCATTTGCAACAATCTTGTTTTCTGAAATTTTAGAATTTTCTATGCTAGAACATACATTAACTGGTAAGGTTAGTATTTACTTTTATAATATTTTTAAGCATAATAATGGATATTAAAGATTCAAATATGCAGAAATGCTTATGAAAATTCCTGTACCCCACCTCATTTCTATTTCCTAAAACAGCCACCAGTTTGGAGTTCTTAACTATTTCCTCTGGTAGATCTTTGATAACAACAGTTTTTATGAAATTATTAATTTTGGACATTTAAATACTTGTTGACACCTGCCAGGATAGATGGGAATTTATCTCTCTTTACCAACAGCCAACCTATTTTGATGAAAAGAGCCAGGTAGTACATCATGATTATTTGATTATTTTTACTGAGATTTTTATTTGGTTGGAGATTTCTATTTTTAATGTCTTTATATCTTAATTGTAGAATCGTGTGCATCCCCCCAAAAGTATATAAAGCCTTTTAAAAGTGTTTTAAAAATCTGTGCCCTTCACCAAACCTCATGGATTGAACACCATCGTACTTTTTTTTTTTTTAATGTTTATTTCTTTTAGAGAGAGAGACCTTCAGAGTGTGAGTGGGGCAGGGGCAGTGGAGACAGAGAGGAAGACACAGAATCCAAAGCAGGCTCTAGGCTCCATGCTGTCAGCACAGAGGCTGACAGCAGGACTTGAATTCACAAAAGGCAAGATCATGACCTGAGCAGAAGTCAGATGCTTAACTGAGTATGCCACCCAGGCGCCCCCAGCACCATCATGCTTTTATTTTATTTTATTTATTTATTTTTTTTACAAGTAGTTTATTGTCAAATTAGTTTCCACATAACACTCAGTGCTCATCCCACAAGTGCCCTCCTCCATGCCCATCCCCCCTCCCCCCC